GGGGAGGAGGAGGAAGACTTCAAGAGTTGAAATGCCAAGAATAAGATTGAACTTTTAGTGTATCTTTTTTGGAGTTTAAGAATAAAGTAGCAGTGTTATTGAAATTAAAAAACGGTAAAAATGTTTGGCATGAAGTCTCGAAGATGTGGATTAAATCCAAATACTGAGCGTTAAGTTGAAAAACCATTTTGAGGAGAAAGACAAGATGGCTAAAATAAACTCTTGAGAATAAATCAAACGACAGCGGTCTGAAAACCGGACTTAATTCTCGACATTTCGACTTTATTCTCGAAATGTATATAAAGAAATCTTCCTTCTCATTTTCCCCTTATGCCAGGACCGAATACTCTTCCGTAGCAGGAAGAGCCAATCAGACTTGAAGAGTTACGCTACATCTGTGATATTGTTCATTCCTAAAAAAAAGAAAAACAATGTTTGCAGTTAACATTTGTGCAAAGACAGATGAAGTTTAAAATATTCAAAAGGATCATTGTTTTCGTGTGAAATCCTTGATATCTCAAGTATGAATCGACACGATTAACATCAGTTGTGTAAATATAAAGTATTTAAAGCGGGATGAATTATGCTGTAGTTGTTTACAGCACTGCTACATGCCAAAAAGAGACAAAGTGGTGAAACATCCAATCAAATGTTCAAATACAATCCCTGAATTACACCCAGCAAATGTATTACTCATCATAATATTTTGTACAATCACTAAAAATATCAACAGCTTTTATTGTGAAGTTTGTCAGTCGAAGTATAAGTAAAACATTTTGTTGTATTTTATCTTTCAGTCTGAATAAGTTTGATAATTAAGAGCCCTGGTTGTGTGCAGCTTGTTAATCTGTGTTCGGCCCGTTGTGACAGAGAGAAGGATGTTTAACCATCATTCATCTGAAATCTATCTTTATATGCTGATGACCAGATATTCTACATCCGCCAAAACCCACAAGTCCAAGCGGAGTAAATGACAACAGGGGAGTTGTAAGTTGACAAAGGTCAGAGTTAATGGTGATGAAGATGCTTTTTGTCATGTGTGGTAAAAAAAAAAGAAGAGAAAAAGGTCCTCTTGACAGTTTTACAGCTTCATACAAGTATAAATAAATTAAATTAAATTCAGAGATCCACGGCGAGATCCCTGGTTCTTTCTTTCTGTTATGGCCTTTCTACCTATATTTTATCTCCAAATTTGATATTTTAAATCATTTTTTTTTAATCTGACTTAATATTAGAAGTAGTTCACGTGTACAAGTCATGTTAGAACAAACTTGGAGGTGGCGTTTGGCTTTGAGGAGCAGATTCTTTCTTTTTATTTTCACTGAGAAGGAGAGTCGTGTTGTAGGTCCCAGAAGAAATAGTTCAGTGTCGCTCACAAGATCCTTTTAGCCAGAGGAGTTCAGGAGTGTTATCTACCTCAGCCAATCACATCCTCCTGGAGTCTTTGCAGACTTGTCCTCGCTGTCCTCGGCCACGCTTGTTTTATGCATCTTTGCCCGGCAAGAAACGATAAAAGACTAAACCAGTATCCTTGCTGTTGTGGACTGAAGTGGAACGAATTCTTCACACACACTCTGATCCAACGTCTAAATCTACTCCTGCAGAGCATGTTCAGCGTCCGCTCTCTAGTCACTAGCTAGCACAAGAAGCGTCTTCCAGCATTGACTTTCCATTGTTGTTGTTTTTGGCGATTGGCCAACATAAGCTAGCTTACAGTATGCCGACTGCTGGACCCCCTTCAATCCATGAACTTTGACTCCTTCAAAGCACAGTTGCGTGTCATACCCACTCCTGAACAGGGTATTTGTAGTAGTGCTGCGTCAGGGTGCTCTGCTGCACTCCTTTGTTCTTGAACTGAAATATCGTGTAGACCAGCACAAGGATGCACAGCGACAGAATGCAGGGGATCACCACGGCAATGGCGTTGACCGTGGTCGGGACGTCGTTGATGGTCACCATGATGTCCACGTCGTCGAGGGGCAGCTGGCGGTCTCCGCGGTTCCCCTTGCTGCCGGAACGCTCCATGTCGGACTGGTCGCAGCCCATCCAGTCACGCAAGATGGACTTGGGGTATCCGGGTTCCACCGTCAGCTTCTGGTTGTCGAACTTCCAGTACTCCTTCCCCTTGTAGAAGTACGTGTAGTCTGAAGACGGGTGAAGGGGTGACGGGGTGGGGGAGGAGGAAAGAAAGAAAGGTGGGGGAGGAAAGAGGAAGACAGAGAACAGAAACGGGAAATTAGTGGGTTTTGTGCGGGAGACATAAGGGTTTGAAAATGTTTAAGCATTTAACACACAGCTGGATGAGAAATCAAGCAGAAAGAAGCAGCTTAACATGAATTAATAACAAGTCAGTATCATCATTCATAGACTTTCAGGAGAATCGTGTTGTGAAAATATAAATCCTGAGCTTTTAAGTAGCAGTCGGCTGCTGTAAAGCGCCCACAGAGCAACTTGGGCTTTAGTGTTTCGCTCAATGACATTTAGACATGCAGTACAGTAACTGCTGGTTTTGTTGCTTGAACCTAACTGTTGGTGGTTTTGTTGCCTAAACTCGCTTTTAACGTAATGTCGTCAGAGCGACACGAAAAACCAGACAACTTATGTCCCCGTACAGGAAACCAATAGATTGCATTTCGTGGCTATTACACAAACTGTGATCGCGATTTTCTATTTGTGTCTTTGAATTGACTTTTTATATACGCCGCACAACAAAGTCGTCTTTCGCGTTTGATGTGAATACACCAGATTTCCAGCCACTCAAAGATTCCACAACAACACCTCAACAACCAACTTACAAATTCAGCTACGCAGCTCATCAAACCTTTGTGTTTTGTTTCGAGCCTGAAAATCACTAAATATCACACGACTATGACCAGCAAACTGTTTCCATAAAAGCTCCCGCTGAGGAGACGAACACGTCGATGCAGTGAGGAACACGGTCCTTCACTCTTTAAGAGAAGCGTCCTCTCTAACTGGAGAACAAACACCCCTCAGTGTCCTCGGCTCCGTCTCTCTGGTACATCCCTGTGACACAGACTCTCATTAGAGGCAATAACGTTTCTACTGTGACACGGTGGTTATAGGCGGCTACAGCTTTCAGTCCCAGCACCGGCTGCTTTTATTGAAGGGCAATATTATGTAACGCCTGTGAGACAGACAGAGAGAGATATGGGGGAGGGAGGGGGAGACAACATGAAGTGATTCAGCCTCAGTCTCACACATACAGGCAGATGTGCTGACAAGCTAAAGTAAGTGCACGTACGTGTTAGATAATAATAGTATGTTATTAAATATCAGCAGGTCACTGCTTCTTCCTGTGAAACGTGTTTCTATGGTTCATTTTATTCATTCAAGGGCTCAACAATATCCAGATTCATGTTAAGTGAATGAAGATTAAAACTGACAATAATCTTAATCTTTGTTGTTGTTTGATGACCGCTAATAAATAATAGAATTTGTACAAAACAGACTTTGGCGAGTTGATTTCTGAAGTGAAAACAAACCAAACCTGGTTGAACTCTGATCATTCACATTTATTCTTCAATAAAGAATCTGTATTTATATATTAGATATGTGTTCAGTCATCATTTTTAATGTAAAACTGAAATCTGTAACTTTCTGCACTTTAACAAATCTGTAAGACAATCAATCAAAGTATTTTTATTGGGTCCAATTGTTTATGTTGGCATTGCATATGAACCTCTGGTATCATTTGATATATAGTATAGTATGGATGTTGTTTGCCATTTTCTTGCCACAGTTCTAGACTAGATATGTTGTTATTAACAGGTAATCGTGCTGTAACTCAGTTTTCAGTACACATTGGAAAGGTAGGAATAGAATAGAATCCCTTTTTATTGTCATATACATCTCTGCATTTGACCCATCCCTGTATATAGGGATGCGGTTACCAGACAACCCTCTTAAGCCAGTGAGCCACAGTCGCCACTAGGTCCTCACAGAGAGAGTCAGAACTCAGATACCTTTAAATATACTAAACTAAATACTATAACCTCGCAAGCTGAGAGGTTATTACAACTACATCTGAACTGAACTACAGATGGCAGAGAACCACAACAATGACACGTCAGGAAACACATACACACACACACACACACACACACACACACACACAGCCCAGAAGGTATGCTTCTAAAGTCGTCCTTTTGGTCTGCTCCATCACCTCCAAACAGCCAGAAGGAAACAAACACAAACACATTTGTCTGTTGCCTCCGACATCCCTGCAGGACAACTTCTCATCTAACACCAAGACACCATGCCTGACCGAACATGTCACCGCCTCAGATCTCTCTCACACACACACACACACACACACACACACACACACACACACACACCCTCTGAGGCAGCCACCAGGTCACGAGGGTCACGACTCGACAAGTGGAAGTGATGATGGAGCTTTTCTTCCAGCAGACAGCGTGCATCTGTGAGTCTGTCGCCTCAGCTTCTGGAGAGTTCAGCGTGAATACAATGAGTTATAAAGAGCAGACTGACAGGTTCCATGAACGACCAGTCAACCGATCAACTGACTGATTTCTTGACCTGTTCCTTGAACAAATGAGAACACGTGATCTGTTTCAATTCATTTAAACAGAAATCTGCATGTGAATGATGCAGAAGTGTCTTCAAACTTGCATTCGCAACCAGTGAACAGGAAGTGACCATATATGGACTGAGGACGAGTGACGTAGAGACTCCGTATACGTCTCTGGCAGAGACCTGTCAATCACCGTGTAGCCCCGCCCTAA